AAAGCATGTCACTGGTTACTGATACAAGAACGTGTCTACCAGAAAAACCACAAGGCCCTTCCGGTTTTACTGACATACCTGGGAAGACACAAGTTTAACGTCTAGTTGTGACTCGGCTTCAGGTAAGAAATCAACAATGGCATCCTGATTTGTGATATAATGGAGGTCTGCAGACGGTAGATCCAATGTCCAGTCGATCCTTGGCTCGGCAATGGAGTCTAGTTCAGTCTCAGATGATCCGGGAGGCTCTGTGGGCGTTTCTGGGGCATCCCATTGCACAGTAGCGTAAGAGAGAGGAGAACAGGGAACAGTGACGGGGTACAAAGACACACTGTGATCTGGCACGTCCAGACCCACGCAGCTCTTCCTCGGGATGGTCTCGTTCTCAAGACTACTTTCATTCTCCTGTTTCATCCTCTCTATGTACTGCATGGCCTCCAGGTAAGGTTCAGATTCCTGATAGTCTTCAATATCCTCCATAGTCTTCTCATTCAGATGAACAGTTTAGGAAGAGCTCATGTCAGTCTTTGTCCTCCGTGATGAGCAGGGCATCCATTTTGAGATCGTCACTCAGAAACACAGTTTCCTCCCACACCTACCAAAATTTTCAACCAAGAAACTCCAAGAGCCTGAGATTTCAGAAAACAAATTACATCCTATATATCATGATCATTCAGTACTGCATATAATCAAACATTTTGAGTATGTAAATGTTCACTTCAGTCTAAAGTGCATCGGTAGAGATAAAACCCTTTCATTAGCCATCATATCTACGCAGCTATGACACCACAAAACCACGACACTTTACAGCCATGTGCATGAGACCGCTGAAACATGAATTTCAGTCAATTTAATAGACAATCCGTGGAACAGCTACTTGTGTTCAGCATTTACACAACAAAGGCAATATAAATAAAGACAATATAAACCATCATGCTGACACTGCAAAGAGCATCTGTAGAATCAGGTTTGTTTGATAATTATACACTTCTCATGATAAAAGTCCAAACGACAGGATCAGAGTCACTGTTTGCAGTGCTGAAACAGTCTGTCAAAACCACACACAGAAATGAGCAATACATTCTTTACATGTCATTTATAAGGCAATGGAGTCCTCCATAAGCAACATGCCTGGTTTGCATGTTCACATTCTCCTAACAAACAGCACACGACTAAATCAATGATTTGATTTACATTTGAAAACCAATGTAGAGAATGGAGCTCACCTCAGCCGTGTCCTTCAGTGAAGCCTTCTGTACACTTTTAAAGACACACAGAGCGGATGTGCTCTGCAATGACTTTTGCTCAAGCAGCACTGAGGCACATTTACACTTCCTGACCACAAACAACCTCCACTGACACAGAGAGAGAGAAAGTGAGACAGACAGACACAGAGAGAGAGACAGTTGAGGGTGCTGGGCGAGACGAAGACAGATACTGCAAGACAGTGAAACTCAGTGAGTTTTTTCCCCCTTGCAGTTAGAATCACTATAATCACCATTAGCACAGATAAACACAATCTAAGCCTGACAGAGAGACACTGAGATGAAACATAAACTGACCCTCCAACAGTAATAGATTATAGATCAGCACATCATTTCCTGCTGCTCCTCACATCACCTCTCACTTCCTGTGCTGTAGAAAACATGAATATGAAAATGCCTCCTAAGGCGTCTCATGTTTCTGACACTTTCACAGTCCAGTTGACATAAACTGTTTCGTTACAACACATTTTAATCTTCATCTGATCATCTGTGAAGATCAGAATGTGTTTAAACAATAACATAACAAAACAAAACACTTTAAACACCATTCATGACATTCATACAAGTTCAAAAGTTAAAGGGCACTGAGATGATACAAAAAGCATGATATTATTATGCATTCAGGTCACAGCAGTTAAATGGACAGTCTATGAAATGGTACATTTGAAAAGTGTTACACACAAACAAGAGAGCAAATGAATTAAAAACAAATACATCACACTAGATTACCGAGTCTCTGTCAGAACCGATTTTCTTTTCAACTTCATCTTTACGTGAATCAGATCTATAAAATGAATTAATGAAATCCGTGCTGCCCGACTTGATGCGACGGCCGTTTTCAAAAAAATCCTTCGCAAACAAGTCCAACAGCATTTTTTGCATTTTGCAAGTACAGCTTCGGTTCAAATGACACACAAAAGTCAACGCAAAAAAAAAAAACGCGCTCATTCAGCACCGGACAATTTTCACTCACCGGCTTTTTTTTCTGCGAGACATCTGTGAAAATACTACGAATTGAAAACCGATGCGCGTCTACAGGGAAATGACCATACGATTGGCTGTTGGCAAAAGCGAAAGACACCTGACACCTGACACCTGAGCGCCCCGCCCACCTGACGGACGAACATTCCTCAGTCAGCAGGTAAAACTGGTACCTGTAAGGACTCTCCATCCATCATCCATCCATCCACACGCACCGCTGTTCTCTGAGCGGGGAAACATCTGATGGCCAGTCCCAAGACTCTGGAGAGCAACACATTATCCTAAAATATGCGCGCTCATTCAGCACCGGACAATTTTCACTCACCGGCTTTTTTTTCTGCGAGACATCTGTGAAAATACTACGAATTGAAAACCGATGCGCGTCTACAGGGAAATGACCATACGATTGGCTGTTGGCAAAAGCGAAAGACACCTGACACCTGACACCTGAGCGCCCCGCCCACCTGACGGACGAACATTCCTCAGTCAGCAGGTAAAACTGGTACCTGTAAGGACTCTCCATCCATCATCCATCCATCCACACGCACCGCTGTTCTCTGAGCGGGGAAACATCTGATGGCCAGTCCCAAGACTCTGGAGAGCAACACATTATCCTAAAATATGTCAGTAGCGTATAACTCACAAAAATGTTAACCACAGAAAAGTCACTGTATGGATAGTTTTCTATGAATTGTGTTGTCATGTCATTGATCCAGAGACAAAGACTAACAAAAAGAGACTGAAAAAATACTATAGAAATTTATAGTAAATACTATGTTTTTGAATGTTTTTGAATCATACTATAGTATACTTAAAGGAATTTGTTGTGGTAATTCTATAGTTGCTGTGGTAACATAACAACTATAGTAATATAAACAAATTACTTTACCCAATACTGTACAAAGTTTTCTACAACTATAGGGTATATTATACTCAGTTTTGGGGGCAACGCATTACAAGTAACGCGAGTTACGTAATCAGATTACTTTTTTCAAGTAACTAGTAAAGTAACGCATTACTTTTTAATTTACAAGAGAATATCTGAGTTACTTTTTCAAATAAGTAACGCAAGTTACTCTCAACATACCTGTCCCCATGTTGAGAGAAATCAGAAGATGTTACTGTAGTTCTATAATAAATATGAATATGCATTAATTCATCTCACTCACACACACAAAAAAAAACAGATTCAGTATTCTTCAAAATGAATACAAAAATAATGCAACTCAGAATATGAAGTAAACCTGACAAAAGAGCAAAAAATAAAATAAATATAGTGAGAAATAGCGCATTTCTCCGACCGTGTCCAATTAAAAGGAGTGAACGTGTTATTATCTGAAGTAAATCTGCTGCTGCTACTGATAACTGTTAGCAGAATGCAGAAATATTCTTTGGAGAATCGCTGAAAAGTACGGTGGCCGAGAAGTGCAAAGCAAATCACAATTCTGAAAACAAAATAACAAATTACAAACGCAAATGCAAGTCTAAAAAACAAAATAACAATTCAGAAACCACAACAACAATTCAGAAAACATTATAACAAGTCAGAAAACACAATGACAAATTCGAAAACAAAATAACAAGTAAGAAAACACAACGGCAAATCAGACAAACCGGAAGAGGTAGGTATAGTTTGAGACAGTGCCATTGGTTTGGGATTACTCACCGCTGACTGGACGAGACATCTGTCAATCAACGTATACAGAGAAGAACCAGCTGAAGAACAACAGAGTCGTGGTAGAAAGTTCGGAGATGGTATTAAATTAGCTCAGTTTAAATGTATTGTATGAATTGCCCTTACTATGGAATAAAAAATACGGGGTGTCTATTTACATTTAGTTAAAAGTGGCTGTAAATCATCAGCTCCAGTGGCGCAGATGGATAAGCGCTTGTCGTTGGCTTTTTGAGGTGATCGACCCGGGTTCAATCTTGCCTTTTTGCCAAACTTTTTTTTTCTCCCTTTTCAAATCTCTTATCACATCGTAAAGGCATTTATTTTCAATAAAAATTAAGGAAATAATAAAAAAGTTGAAAATAAAGTATCGGGTAGGGTTAGGGTAGGTGTAGGGAGGGCTTTATTGTACCAATAAGGTGGCATCCATTTAATAATTAAAATTAAAATGATAATTTACACTCAATACGTTATTATTGCATACTGTTTTATAATGTACTACAATACTGAAGTGCAGATAATTGCCACTATTTGCAACAAGTAGTATACTTGATAGTAGAAATCCTGCTATTTTAACATAGTGTAAATAGGTATTTGCAAAACAATACTGCTATTTTCACTTAGTGTAAATAGAATCCATTGCTAATACGAGATTTGAAAGGGAGGAAAAAAAAGTTTGGTGAAAAAGCCAACGGCAAACGCGTATCCATCTGCACCACTGGAGCTGATGATTTACAGCCACTTTTAACTAAATGTAAATAGACACCCCGTATTTTTTATTCCATAGTAAGGGCAATTCATACAATACATTTAAACTGAGCTACTTTAATACCATCTCCAAACTTTCTACCACGACTCTACTGTTCTTCGGCTGGTTCTTCTCTGTATACGGTGATTGACAGATGTCTCGTCCAGTCAGCGGTGAGTAATCCCAAACCAATGGAGCTGTCTCAAACTATACCTACCTCTTCCGGTTTGTCTGATTTGTCGATGTGGTTTCTGACTTGTTATAATGTTTTCTGAATTGCTTTGCACTTCTCGGTCACCGTAGAAAAGCATATCGAAACAAGCAATCAGAGCAGCTGTGTGTTTCTTCCAATCCTGAGGGGGCAGCGGTGAGTCCGGCGGCGCTCGGGGTTGTTTCGCGGTCACTGCGGCTCCGTGTATTTGTTGAAATGGCGAAGTTTGGCGATTTAAAAGCCTTTCTTGAATCTTCATTAAATGAAATCTTCCGCGCGACCGTCAGTGACATTCTGGATTCAGTGGAGCAAACAGTCGGCGAGTATCAGCTTAAAATTCAGCGAATTGAGTCCGAAAATGAAGATCTGAGAAAACGACTTTGTGCAAAAGATAAAAGGACAAATTATGTCAAAACAGGTGCGTGCAATTTGGAAAATTATGTCATTGTTAGCATACACTGCGCTGTTTTTTGGTTAATGCGTGCAAATGATAATGTTGCACATAAGAGCTGTGCATTTGAGTTATTCCTTCTGTGATTATCATTTGCAAACGCATCTGATATACAAGTAAATGTAAATAACAACGTGTGACCTATTGGTTTCTTAGAAAAACAATTCACTCTATCATAACCCTGATTTTATTTATTTATTGCCAAACACCCTTGTTGTTTGGAATTTTGCTTGGTGAGCTCATCAACAATAATAGCAAACATTAAAATACATACAATATATAAATACATACACATACACAACTATCTATGTCCTATCAATTATGAGGAGTGAAATACAGATGCATAGACACCAGAGGAATTAAGAGCATGAACAATCCTACAATAAGTGCTGTTCAAAAAACGTGTAGACTTAGTTTTAATTGCTCTGAGGCGTCTGCCTGAAAGAAGAGGCGTAAAGAGGTGTCTGGCTGGATGTAAGGGATCTTTCAGGATTGTTAAACCTTTTTTCTGCAAAAGTGAAACATAGATCTCGTCAATAGTGGGAAGATCACAACCAATAATTTTCGAAGCAGCCCGAGTTATGTTACTAATCTGACTTCTCTGCTGAACTGTGGAGCTGCCAAACCACACTATAAGTGAGAAAGTCAGCATGCTTTCAATGAGAGCTCTATACAAATTGAACATACCAACTTTAGATACGCCAAACTTTTTAAGCTGTCTTAAGAAAAAAAAGCCTTTGATGAGATTTTTTAAATAATGCCTCTTAGGTTGTCATCCCACTTTAACGTTGCAGAGATAGTAGTCCCGAGAAACTTAAAACATTGAACATTTTCTATGTCCTGACCATTAATAGTCAATGGCAAAACAGCATTTGTCTTCCGTCTAAAATCAAACACCGTTTCCTTTGTTTTTAGGACATTCACCTTCAAATTATGAGTACAACTCCATTCGAACAGTGTAGAAACCTCCCTTCTATAATTCGATTCGTTATTATTTGTTATTAAACCAATCAATGTAGTATCATGTGCAAACTTAAAAATTTGCACTGATTTACAATGTGAAACACAATCATTGGTGTACACTGAGTACAATAATGGTGACAGTACACATCCTTGTGGGGCCCCCCACACTAATTGTTTTGAGACTTGAAAGTATATTATTAATTTTAACTACTTGTGTTCTGTCCTGCAAAAAAATCCAAAATCCAAAGAGCAAGGGAGTGTTGAATCCCCAATTGCTTTAATTTATCAAAAAGTTTAACTGGAATAATTGTATTAAATGCTGATTTATAGTCCACAAAAAGGACTCTGACATAAGTGTTAGGGGCTTCAAGGTGTTACAAAATTTAATGGATACACAGAGCCACAGCATCATCAACCGACCTATTAGTCTTGTAGGCGAATTGGTGAGAATCATAGCAACTGAAGTTAGGGCCACTGGTCTGTAATCATCTAAGCAACTAATATTTGACTTTTTTGGCACTGGAATTATAACAGCTGCTTTAAAACATACTGGGACTCTGCATACTCTTAACGTCCAGTTGAATATATCGGTGAATACTGGGGCAAGGATGAACGCACACCACTTCAATGTTGCAGATGATATGGAGTCAGGGCCTGCTGCCTTTCTGCTGTTCTGCTTCCGCAGCAGATTCCTGACTTCATATTCCTCTATTTTAAAAGGAGGGCTTATAATACAGGACCAGGAGGGCAGCGTCAGCTGACCAACCGGTCCCTCCATTGTATTTTCAAAGCGACTGTAGAACGCATTAAGTTCATCAGGCAATGTAATATC